TTTATTTAAAAATTTTAAATGAAGAAGAAAAATAAATTTTAAATCTCACATTTAAAATTCTTTATTTGAGTAATTTATTTAAAAATTTTAAATGAAGAAGAAAAATAAAATGATATTCAAAATGAAAATGAAAAATTTAAACTGACTAGTTTATTTATGTTTTTTAATTGATAAGATATAAGAAAAGATACAAGAGTTAAAGAGGTATCAATAATGAAAATAGAAGAAACAAAATACTTGAAGTAATTGGAAATTCAAATATTAGGGTGTAGAGAAAATCTAAAATTACAAAAAAATTATAATTTTAAATGAATTTGGATTTAAACCAAATCTAAATTTATAAATTTTCAAATCCTCATTAATCCAAACATATCATAAAATTTTTTAATAAAAAATATTAACCTCATTTAAAATTCTAACCAATTAAAATGTTGAAAGTGTTCTTTAACTTTTTTTTAACCAACCTTAATCCTTTAATTTTACACAAAGTTTTTTTTAATCTCTTAATTTTATAAAATATTATATATATATATATATATATATAAAGACAGGCTCAATTTGAACACTGAGCAAATTATTACTATCCATTAAAAGCAAACTAGCTAACTCAGGGGACGGATTTAAAATCCGATACAAACCAAGCCAACCATGAAGAGTCTCTTTTAGCAACTAATATTGTTAGTTTCATCAACTAAAAAAAATCTACATTTAATTTTTAAATATTGACACAACACTTTTAAATGTTGACATATTAATTTTTAATTTTTAAAATAATAATAATTGACATAAAAATCATTATTTAAAAAATTATGTTAGGATTAGAGAACTGAAATATATTTTATAAAATTTAAAAATCAAATTAAAGTCTTAGATAAAGTTAGGGGACCAAGATTATAAATCAGCCAAAATGATAAGATTCAATTAGACTAACAAATAGACACGCACTAAAAAAGACTGATCATTTTAATTCAAAACTTAGAAAACCTAAAAAGAATATACACTTGAGGTTGTTAAACTCGTGAGTTTAAATAAATTTGTGATGAAAATGTAAACTGTGATATCTTCGATTTTAATTCCCAAATTAAATTAACTAATCAAGGTTAATTAACTAAAATGTAGTGTTAATATCCTAGATTTTAACCTCTCACATGTTATTAGACAAAATCACATTTTTTTAACCTTATACTCCCAACAAGTACAAACCATAACCAAAAATTAGAGCAGATAACTCAATCAATTTCCAAAACAAGCCAATTATATGGCTCTATGATCATGTCATTTCAAATCATTCAAAATAAATCAGACTTTAAGGTTACAGTCATCCAAAGTGTACTGAAAATAGAAATAATTTAAAGGGCATGATCATATATATCATTACATTCATACAATGGTCAATCAACAAAAAGCCATAACATTGATAATATAACATCATTAAAATATAAATTAAATTACCCAAAAAAGATAGTAGATTTACACTATTAAGTTTTAAGGGCTTCTTCACATGCCATTTGTGACTTTTTTTTAAAAATTGTCAACCATGTAATGAGACTTAAAAGTTTCAATAACCAATGCCAATTTATGATAATATGTCCAAATAGTTATATGTGTATTTGCTAAATGGGAAAACAATTATATAATTTAAATAGAAATGCAAGAGATATTGAAATGCATGATAAACAATTATTCTTATATACCTCCATTAACATCAAGTCATAGCCCTCATTGGGTGCTAGATGATCTAGCCAAATGTAAATAAGTCAAAGCCCTTACAAGTCACATATTGGGCCTTCAATATGAGCGTATCACGTGGCACAAAAAATACAATAACAACAAGTCTCCTAACACTTCTCATGAGATTCAAGCAATGACATATCATAATGTCTAAATATACAACATTATAATTTTTTTCATTTTAACAATACAACAATATAATATCTCACTTGGCAACAACACTTCAAAATACATATTTACAATTTCACAAATTTTTCATAAACATAGCAAAATAATTTCTAAATAACAATTCATAATTTTTCTCAATAACACAAATAACAAAAGGCAACACTAATCACAAATTAAAGCATAGTTACTTTATAGTTTTTTATCAATAAATTACCTCTTACAACTTTTTTTCCATCACAACCATTACCAACAATACAATCTACACATCACACATTATTTAGAAATATTAGTTTTAATTATTAAAACTAATAAAATAACTCTAATCATAGAGTTAGAGAGTATAACATAATTTCTAATCTCATTATTAATACTAATCTAAGGTTAGTACTCTCAAGTAAAATTCTAACTCCTCTTTTAATTACAATAAATATCAATAAGTTAAAATCAACTGTCAAACTATTTTCTATCATCAAATTTTTTTTTTATTTCATAAATTCGCACTCAAAAATATTCAAAAATTTTAAACTTAGTTTCAAGCCTAAAATAATCATCTTATAACCATATTAATCTATTTCTTATCCCAAATAATCATCTACATATAAACAAATTAATTTATATTTTTAGATTAAACAAAAACACACCTGTAAAATTCTAAAGTTTAACTCATAAGACTTAAATTCAAACTCTGTCAATAAAATAATACTTTAAAATATTTATTATATTACCAACAATTTCAATAATCATATTTATTCATAAAAATTCATCCATTTTCAACCCTTAAGTCTGCCACTTTTAGGAAAAGTAGCAATTAAATAGGACAAGTAATTAGAAAAAAAAATTTAAAACACTTATATAATCTGCAAAAGGTTAAAATTTCATCCAAAATATCCTATCATGGAACCTAACCATTAAAAACCACCATTGGCTGTCTGCCCTCTGGCCTTTTGTCAATCTCCCATACTGTGTGAGGAAGCAAGAAAAATGGCTTCACGGGGGTTTACACACAAACACACAGCCCCACCCTAACGGATCAAAACCCGTTCTTTTTTATTATGCATCTATTTACACATCGCATCAACGAGTTTAAAACCCCACCTCCTTACTCTCTCTCTAATTTATATTTCTTTTTTTTAATAATAATAGCAGGTGTAAAGATAATAATGTTTTTTTAAAAATAATTATATTCCAAATTAAATCCAATGCTTATCTCTTAATTAATTTATTTTACCTCTAAATATTCTTCAAAATTTCTATTAACCCAAGTTGACTATTAAAATTTAAATTAAGATATTACAATTATTCCTTAATTACCTTGGTAAGGTGCGGTATATGTTATGGTTAATTGTAGCAATTTAGGTGCCATTACAATTTAGTAATTTAGGCAATATTACATAAACTCAAATCATAAATTCAGATCTTAAACTTGTAAGAGGCTTTAGGAATATTGATTGTCAATCATGGTTAATTATTAGTTAATCATGATTAGTTGTTAGCCTAAACCTATATAAAAGCATAAGGGTAAGGCATTTAGATAAGAAGATTTAATCCTACCTAATTCTCTATTTGGATAGAGAGAAAGCATAAAAGAAAGAAAACTAAAGAGTAAAATAGGAGAAAAAATAATTTTTTCACAATTTGAAAGAGAAAAGAGAAGTGGTGGAAAGGAAAAGTGAAAGAAAAAATAGAACATGAGACCTATATATTTTCCTTTCAAGTTTTCTCTCCATACACGGAGAGATTTTAAAAAGAAAATTATTATTCCATGTCTGCCCTTATTCTCTCATGCGTTTCCTCCCTAGACCTGCTACCTTATTTTTTGCCTTCAACGTAGACAATGCTCAACTCAGTGACAGGCAATGCTTTCTACTTTTTACAACATACCACCTACACAAATTCTTTCAGGTAAAAAAAAAAAAAAACTGCACAAACTCTGTTATTAATTATAAGGACACTATTCATTGAATAGAAGCATAGCATTGAGTGTGGATAATTCTGGACAAAACCTCCAACTTAGAAAAAAACTGTTATTGTATTTGATTTTAAAAAATACATAGTTTTTATTTTTTAAATAGAAAAACAACACGCTTTTACTAAACTATTTGATATAAAATTATAATAATATGAAAATACATTTTTTATCAACTAATTTTATTTTAAATTATTTTGGTGATGTTAATTTTAATATAATATTTTAAATTTATTTTCGTAAAGATAATTATATGAAATGTGATATATTTTAACATCAAGTTATTATTATCACTGTAACGTTTACTCATTTTTTTTCTCCTTGTTTTCTCTTGTCTATCCAAACACAAGAAGTGATAATATTTTTTTAATTTTTTTTCCTTTCTACTTTTCTTCTCATCCAAACAGAAGGTAAGAGAGGGAGATTAATTTGATCATCACCTCAATGTTTCACCTCAAAGTTAGAGTTAGTTCATTCTTAAGATAGGGTTAGTAAATCACCCAAGTAGGGTTGTGAATCATCATTCAAGTAAAGGATCATATTCTTTGTAATGTTGTATCATCTTCATCAATGCATATTCAGTCTTCTTCTCATTTTTTGTAATCTTAACAAAGTTTACATCCACTAATAAATAGTCATTAAAATATATGATTAAATGATTAAAAATAAAATGTTACCATAATTTGATTTCAAATATATTTTCAATATAAATCATTGAAATTAATTCCATTTGTATTAATAAATTATCATACTCAACATAAAAAGTCAAAGGAGAGCAACTTATTTTTTATATTTCTTTTTTTATTTTTTATTAATATTAGTTTCTGCTTTTAATTTGAGTTTTATTTTTCTTTAAACTAAGTCTTACCATTTTTATGAACTGAGTTCTGCACAATATATACTTAGCTCACTCAATTCAATAAAAAAATGATGAGTTTAATTAAGTTTGCATTTAATTCGAGTTTATGAGCGAGTTGTCATGATTTTATAAGTTAAAAACGTGAAAACGATAAACTCAAAATGTCAAATTACGAGTTTAACTGAATTTGCATATTGTTTTAATTTATATGAGCAATCGATTGAGTTGACATAATTTCATAAATTACTAGAAACATAAAAATAAAAAAACTTGGAGTCAACTCAAGAGTTTGAAAATAATGAACATAAGAATAAATAAAAAAATAATGTTGTGCTATATGTATATAGCACAGCATCATCATATACACTGTACGTACCTGATAATTAATTAAAGGGTAAAAATGAATGGAGATGAACAAATAGGGAAAGAAGGCAAAGGAGGAGTGTTCCAGAGAGACAAGTTGATCCAACAGTCCCAAAAACCAACCAATAATATGAATCATATCCAAGATTAAGGTTTTGTTTGTAGTGTTATTAATGACATCATAATTATGTTGTTCTTCAATGTTGTGATGATGATGATAATTCCAGCCATTTTCACATCTGCAACATCTCTCTAATTTCTCCTTCACCTTCACTACCTCCATCCTCTCCTTCAACACGCTCATGTTCTCGTCCACTATGGTATATCTCCCTGCAGAGTCAATCATTCCCACAAATTAATTCATCATCATATACATCACTTTTCAATGAATAATATGCGAAACTCATTATTAGACATCTGTCTCTCTTTTTCACCTGAACTCTCTTTATATATGTTGAAATAAATGAAACTAATGTCTAATTCCTCCAAATAGAAGATTGAGATTTTGCATATTAAAAGAGACAACAGAGAGACCTCAAATCCGAAAGAATAGAGATATGATCAAACAAACCTTCCTCTTGGATTCTTTATGCCAAGATAATGATATGAATATGCAGAAACAAATGAGAGGAAAACTGAAGTAGACCATGAAAACAATGAAAGAATATATATATATATATATAGAGAGAGAGAGAGAGAGAGAGGGGAGAAAATTATAACCTTCGTCTTGGAAGCTATGAACTCGGATGAGGCTGAGGGTTTTGGGAGGTTTGTTGGGAAGGAATAAAGGAGCACGTCTTCCATTTGCAGAGAAGAACGAAGGAAGAGAATAAGATGCCATATGCAACTATAGCTGTACTGTGTTTTCTGTTACCTATTTGTATTCTTTTATATTCACATATACGTGTGTGTGTGTGTGTGTGTGTGTGTGTGTGTGGCTGTCTGCCACTAGACGCTGAAACAAGAAACATTCAAGAGTCAAAGCTGGGTTCTGTTTTTTTTTTTTTTTAATTACTGTTCGGTGGAATGTGTGGTAATAATAAAAAATACATAAATATTCTTTAATAAGATTCCAAACTCTTATTTAATTTTTAAAAAAATGAACAATTTAATATTTAATAATCGTATATATGACTATATATGTAATAAAATCTAACTACTATTATTAATTCGAAGACTATGAATCATAAATCCATAATTCGCTTCTCGTTACTATACTAATTGTTGAGTATAAAATATTAGTTTGCCTATTTTATTAGATTTATTTCTTTATTTTGCTTAATTTTTTATACATTAATTACAAAAAATATAAATCTTATATGTTATTATTCAGACATTGTACAATTATCTAAGCTAAGAATTTTTTAATTAAATATAAAATACTATTTTATCAGTTTTGAAAAACTATTTCAAGTTAGTAACACCCTCATTGTAAACATATAAACATTTTGATCCGAATAAATAAAATTGTATATTATTTTTTATTACTATAATAAGACATCAAAATTTCTTTTATTTTTTTTTCAAAATACTCTATAGTATAAATAACATTTGTAAAAAAAAAAAGAAAGAAACACCGAAATATTAATCCTGAAAAGTTTTCCTCTCACAGAGAGACTCCAAAAATAGTTAGAATAATGGTCAGATCACACACGCTTCCCCTAATTGTCGGATGAAACTATGTTTCTAAGTTTTTATTGAAGATATCTTTTAGTATTTTTTATGTCATTATCTTACCAAGAAAGTAAAAAATAATGACAGTAAAATACATGTTTTTTTAATAAAATACTTAAAACATTTTACTCGTGTGAAATATAAGAGAATTAAGAGTCGTTTATACATCCCAGTATACTAAAATTTATCTAGAAAGTGAGAGATGAAGGTGACAATCAAATCTATGTGCACATTAATATTGGAAATAATTCAGAAAGTGCCGCTTGCTAATCCCATTATTGATGATCAGGAATTCAGGATCGGTGAAACATAATGAGAGTTTGACCATTTCCTTTTTAATTTTCTTCTGTTATATATGGCACTAAACTAAATAGAAGGCTTTCATTTGGCATGCTCTAAACCCAAGCCCTGTTTGATACAAACGATTGAGATTGAGAGTGTGGAATTGAAACCAGCATTGGGTAATGTCACTTTTTTCATGTTTGGTACAGGGTAATAAAAAATTTAATCACAATCCCAATCTCAACTACATGAATGATGTCTCTCAGCATACAATTACATTGTTTTGAGTTAAAAAATAATCACAATTAAGTTAACCCTAATTTGACCACATTTTAGACCACTTAACAATGATCTTGAACCACTATCTCAATCAGTTTCATGACAAATCTGGATTTTAGGATACCAATTAAAGAGTAAATATGTTTTATATTTCATTTCAATATTTCAGAAAATAAGTTTGGGCTATTGAGTTTTAAAAAAGTAATAAAACGATTTTTATAATAATAAACCAAAATGTTAATTTTTTTTTCAAATTTTTAAGTCATATAGAAACATTCTGACCAAAAACAATAATGATAACACAAATGATAGAATATGTGATACATATCATGAAATATATGATATGTATCATGTAAGATACATGTATGTTTACTTTTTTGAAATGCAAGTGATTCACATACAGAGAGATCATGCCATCATGGGCTAGTGTTGATGATTAGTTTTTAATTACTATGGTTAACCACATCTGGCTGCGCAATTATCTCAATTATCTTTAAAATGAGCGCTAGTGGTTAACTTTAGCCACGACCCACTAAATTAATTATTTATATTTAATGTTTTAAAGCTGGCAAGCATAATTTAGTCAATTCACTTTTTTTTTTTCCACTCCAGAATGTGTCAAAGACTAATAAAATAAACTTATTCAGCCGGTCATTTCAACTAATCCGTCCACGGATAGGCAATTCCAACGTCTTCTGTATTATTAATTATTTTTTAATGAAACTGGTTGCTTCTCACGGGTTAAGTGTAAAGTTACACATATGTACCCTCATATTTATATAATATATATATATATATATACCAGAATAAAGTACAACTTTAAAAACTCTTTATTTTAAAGTTTCTTATTTTTTTTTAAGGTATCCACACAATTAAGAGCTATTAGATCAATCCTTTAAAAAAATTGAACGTCATTTAAGGAATATTTTCTTTCAAAGCAATATTTTTCATACACCCTTTCAAAAATCAAACTTTTGAATGATGTTTAATATTGAATAAGAGCGAAATAGTATAATAAATAGTCGGTATGGTGTATTATAAAAAAGAACACAAAGCCCCTCCTCCTATTACATTATAAACATAAATATAAATATGTCTATAAAAAAGTACATTTTTTTACCAATCTATAAAAAAAGTACATCATAAATATCATGGGGAAAATATCATCTAAGAATCCTAGGAAAATTTTTATATTAAAAAAAGACTTAAAATATGAAATTTCACTGCATTCCTATGATACATATTTGAAAATAAGTTTTTTTTTTTTGAGAAAAAAGATCTCATTACCCCTAAATTTTAATAATTTAATGAGTTGTTAATTACATATGGTTAGTTATCAAAAACTTGAATAAATATTTATTTAAATTATGCATGACTAACATTTGTACAATGAAACCCATGTTATTAGTGACTTGTTAATTTTGAATGGATTCCAACACTTGTATAATTAAACCTATTTTATCAGTTTTTGCAACTTATTCATTTATGAATGGATTGTTTTCAATTATGTATGGTTATTTGTCAAAACTTAAATAGATATTTGTTTATGCATTCATATAAAATCCAAACAAAGTATAAGTTACTTTGTGAGATTTAATAGAACATTAATAATTGTTTTATTTTAAAGTTGTTATTCTTAATTATATTTATCAGAGATAATATGTTTTTGAAGTTGATGTTATTTATTCATTAGGAGTAAAGATGGAAATTAAAGTAATTTTTAAATTATGTCATTAATGTAACTTTTTTTTTTGGTTCAGATAAAGATGTTGAAGGTAACTCATATCAAAGAGCACAAAAAATGTAAATAACATCGACGTGCAGTTTTTAAGCTTGGCTTCGTGTAATGTATATCCATTGGTCGAACCGCCATATGCTAATGCACCTATTCACTTTTGAAAACAAATTATAAATAAGGCATGTAGATTTTGTAACTTTACAGCCCTATTCTCGAAATATATTTTTCACCCTCTATATTAAATAAAAAATATTTAAACTCAAAAACTTATACAATATGTAATATTTTAATGATCAAAAAAAATGTGAAGACTATACATAGAAAATCATATCAATTTGTCCAATATAATTTTCTAAAAGATGACCATTCTACTTATGTCATTAAAATTTTAATCCCTAATGTAATTATTATTTTTTAAATTAAATCATCTTGCATTCCTATTTTTGAGCCCCATTGTATATCCATGTTATGATGGCGTGTGTGGTGTTTAGAATTTACAGCATTCAGACGACTTGATTCTCAACCCCCACCTCTCTCTCTCTCTCTCAACAAGTGTATGTGTGTGTGTGTATATATATATATATATAACATAACATAACATAACATAACATGGCCAATCATGAATGAAGGCAAAGACAGAAAGGAAGAGATAGTTCCCGAAATGAAGCTGGAAATAAGTTTTTTTTTTTTTTTTTTGAGCATATCTTAGCAACACTAAATTTCGACAGTTCAAATTAGACATTATTTTATTTTGTGTATTTTTAATGAGATTTTATTTTAGTACATGTGTAGTTTAAGTAAGAGATAATTTTTTTGCCAACAAATAAAAATGATCTGATAATAATCTCTCTGTAAAAACTGAAATTATTATTTAAAATAATAAATTTTTAAAAAAATAAATTTAGTTTAAAATCTCATCACCATGATAAGCATAAAAAACCCCATAGATACGTGATGGACGATTGATTCCTTTTTGTAAGATGGAAACGAGAGAAGTTGACGAATGTTCTTCCTAATAATTTCTAGTTGTCATACCACAGTTTCTTTTATCATAACCAGCCGAGTTGAGTTTATATTCTTTTTGGGTTCTTCATCCCAAAGTTTTTGATGAAATTTGGAGGGCAAAAAAAAAAAAAGAAACAATTTTGAATTCTGATGACATTGATTTTAGACTGATAGTAGAGGGTGCCATGTACATTTGTATGAAATTTGAGATGCATTACAATTATAACATTCACAATTTAGATATTGCTATTTTTTTTTTGGTATTGATGTTGCCATTTTTTATAGATGATGCTAATCGTCTACACCACAACGTAATTGGGCTAAGCCCAGTGAAGTACAACAGGGAAATCTGTAAAGTGAGAAGCTTGCAAGACCACACACAAAAGTCCACAAGGCAAAAGTCCAATGACCACTCCACTGTCTCGTGAAGGTTATTTCGTACACCATAATGGAAATAAGGAAATGAGAATGTGGCATTAAAAAAAAAAAAAAGAAAGAAATGAGAATGTGAACCAACAGGATTTGTCAACCGTGGTGAACCAAGGCTTAAATTTTGGCAAAAAAAATATATGTATGGGTTTCATGAAATAGACTTATTTATAAATAAGTCTCACGAAATTTAAAAATCACGGCTAAATCTCTTAAGATCTAAGTATAATTTGAAATTAAGATATAAAAATAATACTGCTCTTACTTAATAGGTTTAACTATTATATGTGTGAAGTTATAGTTGTAAAATATTGAATTAATAGCTGTAAATTACTAGTGGAGTAATTGTAAACAATTAGTGTTAATTTTTTTTTGGTGAAAACATTAGTATTAAATTTTGTTAATAATGCATGATTAGTTTAACTGTAAGATAT